CATGCACCATAAACACACACCATGTTCAGTTTGGTCTTAATTATTGCCACAAAGTTTGGTTTTACTTTTCTTAGTTTGGGCTTAAACTAACAGAAAACATTAGCTTTGCTGTTATTTTGGTGTTGCTAATAATTTCCACTCTGTTCTTATCAGATTTGTTTTTTAAATGAATTTCGTTTTGTGAGGAGAACTGTTGAGGAAAAATAATAGAACCCAATTTTAAGTTCATCATGGTGAAGTTGGACATTCTGGCGGTGATTGTAAGAATGCTAAATGCATGTTGATATCATATAATATTGTCTTGAATAAAATATGCCTATTTTCCGATGTTTCTCTTTCTTTTTGGCATTATCGTGTAGACACATGATGGTAAGTTTAATTTCCTTAATTGTAACAATTGCAGCGTTGTTTTTAAACTTGTAGTCAAGCTATAACGTATTTGATATTTATCATGTATGACTAAAATCATGCAGGGATTAAAAACGAATTCTGAGCAAACCCGTTAAGATTTTTTCTTTCTTTCTTTCTGATAGCCTACTAGTTCGGAGGTCTCTTTTGGCCCGTTTTTATGAAATAAAAATAACTGCTTTATTTATTTAGAAGCAGGGTCATTTAGAAAATTTATTTTTGTATTGTAATTTTGATAATTTTGTTTTATTAATCAAAATACAACGCCCACAGAATAATATTCAGTGTTGGGCTGCCGAATCTCCGAACGCGTGCATGTTGAGGGGCGAGCTGAGATATAGTATTATAATGTCTAGAGCCGTTTGCAACAAAACTTTAACAGCGCGCGAGTGCAGAATTGAGTTCTGTTTCGTCTTCTTGCAGTTGAATCTTTTGAAATCACAATAGGGTGCCTTCACACCTGGCCTGTTGTTTCGGAACCTGGCACGTTTCCCACCTTAGCTCGGTTCGTTTGGGCATATGTGAACACGGCAATCGCGCTCGGATCCGCGCCAAAACAATCGGTCCGAGATCGCCTGAACGAGGTGGTCTCGGCTCGATTGAAAACGAACTCTGGAGCGAACCGCTCCAGAGTTCGTTTTCAATCGAGCCG